TAGTGAGATTCTATAAGATAAATATTGAATTAACTTGACTAATATAAAACAATTTTAGACCTAACATTGTAAAAGTAAAAATTATTCTTTTCACAATAAATATAAACTGAAGATGTTACTTAAGACATATTTGGTTAGCTATATTCTTTAATTTGATTAATAAAAATATTTTGATTAACATAAATATCAAGTATTAATATAAACTCTAACATAATAGGTAAACCAAATGGTCCTTAATCTTATGTATGGATTAATAATTTCTTTTTTTGGTAAAAGTATGGATTATTTAGTTTGATATTTTCAAGTGGTGGGGCGTCCCCATTAATCTTGGACCTCAGTGGCCTGGGTCCTTTCAGGCCGTGAAAAGACCATCTTCCCTACTCAAAGTAACGGGCCAGGGCACTTCCTCATTGACAGCCCATATTTCATGTAATGGGTTGGTTTCTTCGTGCAACAGCATTAGGGTGGAATTAGAAGTTGACAAAATCACACCTAACTCACTAATCCAGTTCTGATCCAATTCGTAAAAAGTGAGTTATACTCAAGTAATATTGGACCCATGACTTGATCGAGTTAACCTCGTAAAAGTGAGTATTTGGTATGGATACATTCATTATTTATAAATATTTTATTAGTTTAGATAGGTATTTTACTTGAACGGTAAAAAACTTAGGTAAGTAATTGATATGAAAATAGTATACTTATAAGTATTAAATTAAGTAATAAATATAAAAGTTTAGAATTATTTAGTGGACTTGTTTAACTATTTTATTTAATGGATATATTACCAATATTTGTATAATTAAAATTTTATATATATTTATTATACTTAATATTTAAATAATAACAATAATTTTTTTAAAAAAAATAAAATACAAAAAATAAAAAATAAAAAAAATTACACATGCAACTTATAAATAACAAATTTTAAACCAAACACGTATTACACACATAATTAGCCAACGACTTTGGCCCTTTCACTCTCTTCTTTTTTTTCTTTTAACAAGTTCAAATTTAAGGAGATAGAGGGATTTAAACCAAGATCATGCTTGTAGAAATGCACCTTTTAAGTTGGCTAAAAGCCAATCGGTCCAAAAGACAAGGTGCCCTTCCTTACACTTTTAATTAACGGTGAGTATATACACTTTAAGATTTGATTATTTTTATTTTTATTTTTTTTACTTTTCTATTAGTGATTTTTGAATAATAGTCTTTATTTATTGTATAGATAATCTTTTAATTTCAAACTCTAAACTTAATATGATAAAAATCGTAAATCAAAAGCA